AGTTAGGATTCCACCCTTAAATAATTGGTAAAAAAAAAAAAATCATTTATTAATGTTAAATAAGTTAACTTTATTAGCTTTTGTTATTTTTAAAAAATTAAATAATTATGTTTGAAAGTATTACTTAGGTCCCTTTCCCCCCATTTACCTGTTCTAGCCCGTTTCCACCGCCCTGCTTTTGTTTGTTTTTTAAAGGCATTCATTTTAATATTTCCAGCATTCTTTTTTAAAAATCTATTTTATTTTTTTTTAAATATATTTTATTGATTTTGTACAGAGAGGAAGGGAGAGGGATAGAGAGTTAGAAACATCGATGAGAGAAAATCATCGATCAGCTGCCTCTTGCACCCCCCGCCCCACTGGGGATGTGCCTGCAACCAAGGTACATGCCCTTGACCGGAATAGAACCTGGGACCTTTCCACTGAGCCAAACGGGTTTCGGCCCAGCATTCTTTTATTACTACTTCTATCAAAACTTTTCTTACTAAAGAAAAAAGAGGGGCTCAAGTGAATACTGTTGCTATTTTTACTCCATTTCTTTTTCAACATTAAAACAGTCAAACTATAACTTGTAACCTAATACAAAGAATTGCACACCAACTACTGGTAAACGTGTGGGCTGTTACTACATACAAGGAGGCTAATCATTGCATATCTTTCCTCCAGGTTTAAGACCACAATACCTGCCAGGAAGTATACATTATCCCACTTCAACTTCACTACTGAAATGTCACACATTACAGTCACCAAAGGGAAATGATTAACACTTTTATAGAGTCACTCTATTAAGGCTTAATCTTCACCAAGACCCTATGAGACAAGTACAATTATAATCTTCAATTTATAAATGAGGCAAGTTGGCCTGGGAGGTAGTCTGCCCAGAGTCACACAGCTTATAAGTAAGCAACTTCAAAATGAGTTAAATTTTAAAACTCATCTAGACCAATCACCCTGCAAAATACAAAGGGAAAACAAATCCATTATTCTGATTTTATAATGTGACATAAGTTGAATGCTTTTATACTTTTCTGTTCAGAAAAGGGGCTTCTCCTCTGCTTCCACTACAGTGAGATCTTGCTTTCCCTACAGTTCTCTGCAATCTACTGAAAGAATGCCTCCTCTCGCCGAAACCGGTTTGGTTCAATGGATAGAGCGTCGGCTTGCGGACTGAAAGGTCCCAGGTTCAATTCCAGTCAAGGACGTGTACCTTCGTTGTGGGCATATCCTCAGTGGGGGGTGTGCAAGAGGCAGCTAATCGATGATTCTCTCTCATCGATGTTTCTAACTCTATCGCTCTCTCTTCCTCTCTGTAAAAAAATCAATAAAATATATATATTTTTTTAAATAGAAAAAAAAAAAAAAAAAAGAATTCCTCCTCTCTTTAACTGACCTTCCCTCCTTCTTCCAGGCCCATGGACTCTTCGGGAAGGAGGAACACACTTCCGTTTACCATGCATATTTTAAAAATTCTCCTCCAGCTAAATGTCAAGCACATATAAAGCTTCTAATCTTCTACTGGTTGATAACAACATACACATTATTTATTAAATCAAATCAAGAGATATTCGGTGTGCCTAAATAGCAATATAAATGCTATATGCTCTACATTCAGTGTGGACTGTTACTTCTCACTAACCAGCAAGAATTTAAGAAACACCTTTTATGTTTTATTTGCTACTTGTCCCCCAATCAGACTGTAAACTAGTCTCACTCATCTTTGCTGTCCCCAAACCTAGAAGTATATGCATTTAAGAAGCCTCTACACTAATGACTAAAAGAAAAAAACTTTGTTGACATGTTAACCCAGGTAAATTGTAAGAAAACCACAGCAAATAATAGCAGGGCTAGGTAAGAGACCAAAAAACACTGTTCAAACAGACATCACTCAAAAGTGATAACTCAAAAGTATACGAGAGTGGGAGGACAAGAAGACCCCAATGAGCATTTTTACGTGCTGCAGCAAAAGCTTTGCATACATTCTCGCAAATAATCCCCACAGTTCAACGGGGTATGAATATTTTAGAAAGTGAGACTTAGGGAGATCAAGTGGCCCAATGTCACAACGCTTCAGCTGGCGCGCCCGGCTTGTCATCTGGATCTGTCAGACTCGGAGGCCCGTGCTCGACACCCCGCTTCTCCCCCCTCGCTCGCACGTCGGAAAGCAGAGCCTTGCCAACCCGCTAGGACACAAAGCGGCGACCCCTCTGTGCCACCTCCGCCCGCGCCTGCCACGGCGGGCTCCCCGCTCCCCGCCGGGCACCCCCCGGGAGACCAGGGCTGGCGGGCGGACCGGCCTCGGCGCGGGCCCGGGGCAGCGGTGTGAGGATGGAGAGGGGTACCGGAAGCGGGGTGCAGGGGCCCCTCTGCCCTGCGCTCCCCGCAGCAGGGAGTCGGCGAACTTACACAACCCGATCCAGAGCGTCCATCGCTACCGCACCCGGAGCTGCTCGAACACACGTGGGTCGTGTGATTACTGTAAGACAGGTGGGTGCCCGGAAGAGGCGGGACCGGAACCTGCTGTGACGTCACTTCCCGCGGCCGCCGCGCCCTGGATGCCGGGAGGCGCTGGCGGCCTTTGGGGGCGGAGTCGCGGTGTTTGCTTGGTGGCGGGGTCTGGCGGCGCTGCCGTCCCGGGAACTAAAGCTCCGAGTCACAAGGCGTCTAGCAGCTTCACGTGCAGACCTGTGTATGTAGCCTGAGCCACATATTCGGGGCGCAGGTGTTATTCCTCTAGGGACCCCCAGGGGCTCAGGTGGTCACTAAAAATATCAATGTGAAATGTGCGCTATTGACCCCAGTGAGATCAGTGAGACGAGTCCGAACTACCTGCCACATGGAAGGTGTGCATAAAATCATACTGCCGATTATGATTTTTCCCCAAATATGAACATACCATTAAATTTGCCGCTGTAAAGTGGTAATTTTAGTGGTTTTTAGTATATACAAAAGGATGTACAACCATCACCACTATCTGAATCCAGAATGTGTTATCTTCCCAAAAGGAAACACCCACTTTTGTAAGCCAGTGGCACTCTCCCTTTTCCCCTCCTGCCATCCTCTAGCAACCAGCAATCTATATCTCCATGGATTTGCATCAATGGATTCATATAGTAATATGCGGCCTTTGTGTCTGGTTTGTTTCATTTTGCATGATCATGTGTTCATGTGTAAGGTTCATACATGTTGTAGTATGTACCAGTAATTCACTTCTTTTTTTGAGGACTGAATAATATTCCATTCTACGGATATTCCACACTTGCATAGCCACTCAAAAAGTTATGGGGGAGCATTTGAGATCTTGTTTCGATCATGTCAGTTTGGCACAAATAAACTCATAAAATTCTCCAAAAAAATGTATAGACATTTGGATTGTTTCCGGGGTTTTTTTTGAGTACTCGTATTATGAATTACGCTGTTTTGAACATTCTGTACAAGTTTTTTGTTTCTATTCTCCCTCTGTTTTCATCTCTGAAATCAATAAAAAGTATATATTTAATAATAAATTGGGAGCATGGAATCTGAATAGGAAATAAGAGCTTTTAAGACATGAGACTGAGAATCTTATTTTGAATTTGAGAAGACTAGGACCTCTACTACCTTAATATTTAAAAAAAAAAATTTTAACCCTCACCTGAGGATATGTTTTTATTGACTTTTTGAGAGAGGGAGGAAGGTAGGGTGGGGAGAGATTGCTGTTTTGATCCACTAAGTTGTAGTAATTTGTGATGACTACAATAGAAAACTTATACACCTACCTTAGTAAAACCTCCCGTTTAAAGGACTCATCGGCCGGAACCGGTTTGGCTCAGTGGATAGAGCGTCAGCCTGCGGACTGGAAGGTCCCGGGTTCGATTCCGGTCAAGGGCATGTACCTTATGTACCTTCGTTGTGGGCACATCCCCGGTGGGGGCTGTGCAGGAGGCAGCTGGTCGATGTTTCTCTCTCATCTATGTTTCTAGCTCTCTATCCCTCTCCCTTCCTCTCTGTAAAAAATCAATAAAATATATTTTTTTAAAAATAAATAAATAAATAAATAAAATAAAAAATACAGGACTCATCAGAGCCCAGCCAGCAGGGTTCAGTGGTTGAGCATCCACCTATGAACCAGGAGGTCATATTATAGTTCAATTTCCAGTCAGGACATATGCTTGGGTTGTGAGCTTTATCTCCAGTGTGGAGCGTATAGGAGGCAGTAAGCCAATAATTCTCTTTCAACATTGATGTTTCTCTCTCGCTTTCCCTTTCTCTCTGAAATCAATAAAAAATTTATTTAAAAAACAAAATAAATGAAGAACCATCAGAGAAAGTTCCCTATAGTCATTTTAACCATATTTTTTTAATCCTCATCTGAAGACATTTTTTATATCAATTTTTTTAGAGAGGAAGGGAAGAAAGGGGGAGGGAGGGAGGAAGAGAGAGACAGAGAGACATAGATGTGAGAAACATCTATTGGTTGCCTCCTATACCCGCCCTGCCCAGGGATGGAACCCACAACATGGGTATGAGCCCTGACCAGAAATCAAACCTGGCCACCTTTTGGTGTACAGGAGGACACTCCAACCAACTCAGCCACACTGTGTAGGGCTAACTATATTTTTTTAAACAACCATATTTTTTTCAATTATATCTGGTCTTTAATGATTCTGGTATATTAAGTTGTAGCTGTAATTGAAAATGTATACATCCAATAAAAGTAAAATAGTGACCAAACAAAAGCTGAGTAGTCATTTTATATAAAAACTTAAAAAACAATTATAGCCGGGACCGGTTTGGCTCAGTGGATAGAGTGTCGGCCTGTGGACTGAGAGGTCCCGGGTTCAATTCCGGGCAGGGGCATGTACCTTGGCTGCGGGCACATTCCCAATGGGGGTGTGCAAGAGGCAGCTGATCGATGATTCTCTCTCATCGATGTTTCTAACTCTCTATCCCTCTCTCTTCCTCTCTGTGAAAAATCAATAAAATATATTTTTTTAAAAATTCTAACTAGTATTAAAAACATTTTATCTAGGAGTGGTTTCTAAGGCAGCATCTTGAGTTTCCATACACACAGAACTTTCAGTTTCAGAAGGAGTATCAATAAGAGGGCCAGAATCCTCTATTTCCAAGTGCGGTGGTTTTTCCTGTTCATAGCTCAGACTTGAATTAAATTTCATTTGAATCTCTTGCTCTTCCAACTCCAAAGGTTTATCTGGGGCTGGAGCTACAACTTCTTCATCTTCATTTTCATGTAGAAAGTTACAAATCATGTTGGGTCTAGTGGAGAAATCATTATCCTCGATTTGCAGCCATTCCACACCACCTAATGGGTTTATGGGGGGTGTTTAAAGGTGGGAAGACAAACCAAGAAAGAAACATGAAAAATGAATTTAGTTAAATATATATATTGTTTAATTTTCACCCCAACAATATATGTCAAAGTGAAACTCTAACATAAACCAAGGATCATGGTTCCTGTAACTACTGATAATCACAAAATTCCCATCTTACTTGGAGACCTTATTATGCTTATAGGGTATGCATCATCAAAATCACTAAAAGTAATCTGCTTCAGTTACTGTTCTAAGCTCTTCTTCCCACAGTTCAATTCCCAACTCATTCTTAGAGATAATTTGAGCTCTCACTGCAATCTCATACCTTAGAGTAAAGAAAACTGTCACTTCTCTACCATTTTCTCCTTACCCACTTAGTTTTTATAATACCATGGAGGATTCTACTCTATCATCTCAAATCAACACATATATATCCTTCTGAGTTGGGACATTCAATTGTCAAATAAAACACCTCTCAAAAACAAACAAAAACCTTGAAAAATGTTCCTCTCCATAGTCATAGTCAAAGCCCTACCCCCTCAATAAACCCCTACAATCAAGAATTGCTCCCAGCTGGCTCAGTGTGACCAGCAGCTGGCACCTGGCTCCCTGCTCCGTGACCACCGTCTCTCATGGCTTTCGTTCCCTCCTTCCCTCCCTCCCTCTAAATTAAATAAATAAATAAATAAATAAATAAATAAATAAATAAATAAATAGAATTGCTCCCAGATTGGGGTAGCCACTGTGGAAAACAGTATGGAATTTCCTCAAAAAGTTAGAAATGGAACTCCCAATTGACCCAGCAGTCCCTTGGCCCTCTCTTTCACAGAAACATGCGTCAGAGTAATCCATTTATCCATCGCTAAGGGTCTGCTGGTCAGCCTTGGCAGGGGAGGGGTTTTGATCAGGGAAAAAAGAAGACATTTGTAATACTTTAAACAATGAAAAAAAAAAGTTTAAAATCTAAAAAAAAAATTAAAAAAAAAATGCTCCAATAATGGTAATTTTTTTTATTCCTATTACCCTTTCAGGCAAATATTTTCAATGGACCCTCTTTCATTTCTTCTTTTATAGTTTGATGGTTATTAGTTAATGCTTAAAATCTTTGATACTTGTAACAGTATTCTGAGTTGTTTTGAAAAAGTTTAAGATTTTTTCCCCCAGTGTTGCAACAAAATCCAGGGGTTTTTTTTGCAGTTATCTGCTTCATTCTTTACCCCCCTTTTTATTGATTTTTTGGGGGGCCTCATTAATTTTTATAGCAAGCCCAAGCTCTTTAGTCTCATCCTCAAAATTCTGATAGCTATTAAGATACCCCAACCTACCTTGCCACCCTATTCACACTTCCATTTGCTCTGTTCCTCACTATAACTAACTCTTTTGCAACTGTTTGTTGACATTTCCTAACTAGTGATCCCATGTCTTCTTATATGTTATGTCTATAAAATCTCCACTAAAAATTTATTAGTCCTTTTCTCTACAGTTCAGTTTCAACTACTGGCTTTTATGTGTTTTTTTTCCTGCAAGAGCAATGTTCTACCACTTACCCAGGTTCAAAACCTTGAAGCCATCCCCGCACCCACGGGAGATCACACAGTCCCCCACTATCACAAATTATGCAGTAGAAATTCCCACGTTGAGGAAACCACGGGGTCAGCACATCCAGGGTGCAATAAATAAGCCTCACCCTGGAAAAACCACCTTCCTGATCATGGTATCTTCCCTGCCAGGCAAGTATTGAAGCCATTCTTTACTCTTACTTTGCATGATACTTGCCACCTAACAGATACTGAACATAAGGTGAATGAAATGAGTGTTGTTACACTGAGCCATGTGTTTCCATGTGACTTACTTTTAGGATGCAAGTTCCTAAAAGGTAGGGGCCACATCTCCTATCTATTTGTTTCTGCCTCCAGCATACTGCCGTGTTTGGTGGCCAGCCTCCAGATGGTCCCCAATGATCCTCGCCTTCCTTTCAAGCCCCGGTGTAGTCCCCTCCCACACTGAATAGGATACTGCAGAAATGTCAGAACGACTTCTAGGCTATTCATAAACGACCTCATGGACCATGTGATCTGGGAGAAGCCAGCTGCCATTTCAGGAGGGCACTCAAACAGTACTATGGGGAGGCAAGGACCTAAGGCCTCATGCTAACAGCCTGCACGAACTTGCCAGCCATGTGAGTGAGCTATCTGATCTAATTAGATCTTCCAGCCTTGCTCAAGTCTTTAGACATTGCAGCCAGCCAACATACTGACTGCAACCTTGTGAGGAGTTCCAAGCCAGAACCACGTGGCTAAGCTACTCCCAAAATCTGTATTCACAGAGACTGTGTACGAGAGTTGGGGTTTTTTGTTGTTGTTTTGAACCATTAAGTTCCAGGTAATTTCTTATGCAGCAACAGATAACTAATACTTGATTACTAATTTATTTGATTAAGCAAAACACCAAAATCTTCTCAAAGACCTAGAAAGAATTTTAATTATAAAAAATAAATAACAAGAACCTGGCCAGTGTCACTTAGTGGTTTGAGTGTCGACCTATAAACCAGGAGGTCATGGTTTGATTTTCTATCAGGGCACATGCCTGGGTTATGGGATTGATCTCCAGTGGGGGGCATGTAGGAGACAGCTGATCAATGATTCTCTCTCATCATTGATATTTTTCTCTCCCCTCTCTTCCTCTATGAAATCAATAAAAATATAAATAAGGAAGGAAGGAAAGGAAAGGAAAAGAAAGGAAAGGAAGAAAGACAAAGGAGACTGCTGATTTCCCTAGGAATCAGAAATCATGTCAAGTTTCTTGACAAACTCCCCACAACTATTTCCAATGCAAAGCAGATAGAGATTTCTTATTTGTCCCAGCACCCTCTGCTACATAAGAGTTCAACTGAATTTTAAATCTATGTTTGGTACTTTCCATGGAGCATATTCAATAATATACTTAACATATTCATATAGTCATTACTACAAAGTACAAAAAATGTCCTGGTAGCAATGTGTCACCAATTTTAAATCACCAATTTTCAGAAAACTAGATTAACTAACCTATGCTTTCTTCTCCTTCCTTCTTTTCTGTCAGAAGAGTTCTTGTCATGCTGAGCTTCTTCATCGTATGGCATTTATATTTTAGCACTGTTTTATTGTTGCCTTCTGCATCCACTAGAACATAAAATAAACTCAATTATTATACTATAATACAATAGTACAAATAAAATAAACATGTTAAACCTCAATAATTCCAATTTAGTGAGTTACACTACCTCCTGTCTAGATAGTGGAATAGTTCAAGATTTAACTCATCTCTCCTGTCAAGCATAGAGAAATGACAGATAAAATACTTATATAACAACTGGACTCAAAACAACAAACAACTCCATGGGACAGACACACAGAACTATGAGTGAAGTTAAAACTATGGGTCTGCTAGGCTCCAGCCCTGAAGTAACGAAGTGAAGCCAGAAACTTGGCTTTACAGGGTAACGAGGTCTAAAATTCTACCACACTTGCCCTAGCCGGTTTGGCTCAGTGGATAGAACGTCAGGATTGAAGGATTGAAGGATCCTGAGTTCAATTCCAGCCAAGGGCACATTCCTGGGTTGCAGGCTCAATCCCCAGTGGGGGTGTGCAGGAGGCAGCTGATCAATGATTCTCTCTCATCATTGATGTTTCTTTTTATCTCCCTTCCTCTGAAATCAATAAAAATATATTAAAAATAAATCAATAAAATTCTACCATACAAAACTATCAAATGTGAGAGAAGAATGAGAAAAGTACTGCTGCCAACCCCACTGGCTGGGGTTACAGCTTTATAGAAAACTATGGGCATAGGCAGGGGGGAGGATGAGGATCTGAGCTAAGGATGTGAAACACTGCAAACCTCCATACACTCCTCCTAGGAGTGTAACTGACATGTGCTAGAAAGCAACACAGTAAGTGGACTACATGAAATTGTCAATATCCAGCCCAAGTAAGTCATTTCATATTGTTGAACCCAACACAGTCATCAATCTACCTCCATTTCTAAGTGTAAACTTAAACATTTTTACATATATGCACAGGGAGAATAAAAATATGAATGGCAGCATTGTAGTGAATTAATAAGCATAATTAAGAACATGAACTCCAGCTGAAACTGGTTTGGCTCAGTGGTAGAGCGTCGGTCTGCAGACTGAAAGGTCCCAGGTTCAATTCCGGTCAGGGGCATGTACGTAGGGGGTGTGCAAGAGGCAGCTGGTCGATGTTTCTCTCTCATTGACGTTTCTAGCTCTCTGTCTCTCTCCCTTCCTCTCTGTAAAAAAATCAATAAAATATATTTAAAAAAAAAAAAAAGAACATGGACTCCAGCCAAAACTGGTTTAGCTCAGTGAAGACAGGGTCGATCTGCAGACTGAAAGGATCTGGGTTCTATTCCGGTCAAGAGCATATACCTTGGTTGCGGGCACATCCCAAGCAGGGGGTGTGCAAGAGGCAGCTGATCGATGATTCTCATCAATGTTTCTAACTCTCTATCCTTCTCCCTTCCTCTCTGTAAAAAATCAATAAAATATATATATTTTTTAATTTTGGAGAGGGGTATACAAGGGGCTTCAAGAGTATTGAATGCTTTCTAACTATCTGGCAAAATGGTAGAATTTGATACAGCTAGACAATGAGTATATAAAGTGTTTAATTTTAATATTCACATACATATGTTTTAAGTATTTTGTAGTAAAAAGAGTTACCACAGTAATCACTTACCATGTTCAACATTTTCTTCAAATAAAACACAGGTTCCAAGAGTGTCTGTGGAAAAATTTAAAGATAATTTGTTAAGAACTAACAGAGCTACATTCTCTGAAAAGCATATTTAAAAAGGAGTTTCATCAATCTGACATCCTCTTACCTTCATACTCGCCAGCAAATACATAGCTGTCCACTTGCAGAATGGGCCTCTCAGTGTCAATTCCCTGCATCAGAATACAGGATTATAAAAGATCACTAGAAAAAGCCTTAGAGGGTGGGTAAAATGGGGGAAGGTGGTCAAAAGATACAAACTTCCAATGATGAAATAAATAAATCCTGGAGATGTAACATACAGCATAATAATTATAGTTAATAATATCCTATTGTTTATTTGAAACTTGCTGAGAATAAATCTTAAAAGTTATCACAGAAGTAAAATTTATAACTATGTGTGATGACAGATGTTATCTAGACTTAGTAGAGGTGATCATTATTTCACATTACAGACAAATATTGAATCACTAGAGGTCCAGTGCATGAAATTCATGCATGAGTAGAGTCCCTAGGCCTGGTCAGCGATCAGGGCCAATCTGTGGTACAACCACTGGGGTGATCATGGCTAGCCTGGAGCCGCCTGCTCACTGGTCCTGGCCCCCAGCGTCCCCCCACCCCTGCTGATTGAGGCCTGTGGGCTGGGGGTAGCTCTTGTATTGAGAGTGTAGCCCCTGGTGGTCAGTGCACATCATAGCATCCAGTCATTCTGCTGTTAGGTCAATTTGCATATTAGGATTTTATTACAGAGGAATATATCATACCACTGAAACTAATATAAATTTGTATGTTAATTATAATCTCAATTTTTAAAAAAGAAAGAAAAAAGCCTTCTACATGTAACCTTGCTACCAAGAGCAGGGGTGGGGAACATCCAGATAGTGGGCCCTGGAAATCTTACTCATCACTCTTGTTGCCAAGACTTAGGGTGAGTTAGTGAAATGTTTGACCAAATATAGCAGGCTAATTTTTAAGTTGATAATTTTTTACGGCTCCCGAATGATGTTATAAATATCCAGATGGCCCTTGGCAGAAAAAAGGTGCCCCATGCCTGTGCTAGAGTCTAGAGCTTCTTGTCCTGGCAAGCACAAGATACGCTGACACTGCTCTGACCCCAGCAGCTCCAAGTAATAGGTCTATTTCAGTCAACTCGCTCTTCAAGTCAGCCTAAGAACAGAGTGATAGATCCTCCCTTTCCCTCAGTTGATGGACAGACATAAACCCCACCTGCAGCCAGGCATTCCTGAGTTCTGAACCACCAATCAGTACCTGCCAAATACTCTAAGCCCCCATTCCTAAGTCCCTAGGTCCCTAATCAGGGTGTGCTGAGTGCCCTAAGCCCCGCCCCCTATCCTTAAAGGTACTTGTAAGCCCCTGGCTCGCTCTCTTCCGCTCTTCTCCGTGGAAGCAGCCGGCAGGGGTACCCTTCCCTCCAATAAAGCCTGTGTCCTGCCACCTAGTCTCCAGTCTACCTTCTCTAATTAATCTATCACAGAGGAAATTTGGTCAACAGTTGCTCCAAGATTTTAAAGCAAAGTGATAAAACAGGTGGAAGTCTTTTCTTAGTAGTAGGTACCTTCTCTCCCTTCTCCACTTTTCACCTGTGTGTGCAAATCTCATTATCCTCTCTCCCACCTCACTATCTAAAACCATGCATTTTTTCAAAATATCTACCAAAATGCCTCTTCCTCCAAATCTTCACCTCTCTGCGGCCATCCCTCCATCCATCCATCCATCCAGACGCTCAAGCAGTGAGGCATCTTCTCCCACCTGCTCCCACAGGCCCCGGTACCTCCACGACCCTCTTTAGAGTTCACTGCTTTGTAACGTTCTGTATCCGGCTCCGAAGCGCACCACTCATTCTTGTTCTACGTAGATGAAAACCTACAGCCACTCCCCAATTCCGGAAGACTCACCAAAATCTTGCATTTATTTTCACATTTAGAGAGAAAGTCCGAATCGATAATTCCTGACAATTCCACCAGAACCAGCTGCTCCTGGTGGGAGAAGGCCGGGTTACCACGGAGCACGCGGGCGCAGGGCGGGAAGAGGCAGGGACCAGGGACCCCCACCCACACCCCATAGCAACGACCCCGCCTCCGGGGTCACTAGGTCCGGCTTTCCAGGAGAGGAAGACCGCGCCGTTTCCCAAAGAGGCCCCTCCACTTCCCCCTCCGACCAGACTGCGGGGTCAGGGCTGAGGCCAGCTCCCCCGACCCCCACCCCTCCTCCGGGGCCCGCAGCCCCGCCGCAACCCCAGGGGCAAGAAGCGTGCGAGGCGCCCGTGGGGGCTCCGAGCCGCCCGGCACCCGACTCCCTTCCCCTCCCGCGGCCAGCGCGGCCCTCGCCGCCGCCGCCCCCCACACAGGCTTCGGTCGTAGCCCTCACGGCTTCCCCTACCTCCTCCTCCTCCTCCCCGTCAGCTGGATTCCTCTCCACGGCGGCGGCCATGATCCCACCCTCCCCACGGCCCCCAGGGGCTGGCCACGCCCACCGCGGCCGCCGATGCCACGCCCCCCCCGCCTTCGGAGCGATTGGCCACGCCCACCGCGGCCGCCATCTCGAGTCCGGGCAGCCTCCTTTCTTCCGGTCCTGTCGCCGCTCAGGCCTCTAAACCACTCCTTGCAGGCGGCAAGGTGTCCACCCCGTGGCCCGGTGGAGGCCGGTTCCAGGCCTGTTCCTTGTTCTTTTCTTTCTTTTATGTATTTATATTTTTATTGATTCTACAGAGGGAGAGAGAGAAAGAAACATCAATGGTTGATCAGCTGCCTCTGGCACGCCCCCTACTGGAGATCGCTTGCAACCTGGGCCTGAGCCCTGCCGGGGAATCCAACCGAGACCTTCTGATCCTTAGGTGGCCGCTCAACCGCTGAGCCGCCCACCAGCGGGGCTCCTGGCTCCTTTCTTGAGATCAGAAGCCGGTCCTGGCTGGCTTGCAGGTCCTGGGACCCAGAGATCCATCGCTTAGGCCCCGCCCCAGGAGGAAGGAGAGGGCTGGGGAGGGAGAGGGGAGGGAGAAGTGCAAGTGAGGAAGCCTCCACCTGCTGGGAATGCAGAGGCTAGTGTTAGCGGAGCTTACTCTCTTGGGAGTCAATTCTTAATATTTGGAGGGAAAAGAGAAAGTAACTTCATAGGGTGACCTGATTGTAAATTACTAACCGGGCGACTCAGGCATATAACTTTTTAGTGGAAGCTTGTATTTGCTTTGAGCAAACCTGCCCATTGTTTCTGTGCACCTAGGTTAACACACTTTTGAAATAAGCAGTAGTCACCCTCTAGAGGGCACACAATTTGAACTATCCTGTAATCCAATCCCTACATTGCTTTCTCCTAAATCCTTGTAATGTTCTTAGTTCCCTCCTTAATTAAGTGCATAAACAAGACGCATTCTCAGGAGCATTTGAGATCTTGCTCCCTGGCATATGGCATCAGTTTAACTCAAGTTCTTATAAACACTCTCCACAGGTATAGACAGTCTTATGTGACAATGTCATGTGAGCACTAATCCTCTGTTTACATTTCCCCTGAGCCAAATGAAGAGAGCATTTCAGATTAACTAGTGTGGCGCCGAAACCGGTTTGGCTCGGTGGATAGAGCCTGCGGACTGAAAGGTCCCGGGTTCGATTCCAGTCAAGGGCATGTACCTTGGTTGCCGGCACAATCTCAATAGGGGGTGTGCATGAGGCAGCTGATCGTTGTTTCTAGCTCTCTACCTCTCTCCCTTCCTCTCTGTAAAAAAAAAAAAAAAAAAAAAAAAAAAAAAAAAAAAAAAACAATAAAATATATAATTTTTTAAAAAACAGATTAGTGTGAGGGTTCAGAATGAGCTACCTAAAGATGTGTTTCTGTGGAATGCAGATTGTTGAGCTAAAGGCAATTTTAACTTCAGCCTGGGTTTCCTCCGAGCAATACCCCCAGATCATACATAGTATTTGGAGAGACCTCTCCAATCTTCAGCCCACATTGGTTACTGCTGAGATTCCCATGGTTAAAGCTATACGTTCTTGAAGTGCAGGGACTTGTTTCCACAGGGCATGGGGTTCTTATGTTTGGGAACCTTAATGTCTAGCCTTTCTAAGCAGACCATAGGTCCTGGCGCCTCTCCAGGGTGCTGCCAGGAAACTAAAGGCAAACCAGTTTACACACCTTCCCAACCTACAGATATCTCCATTTTCCCCCTTCCGTTTTTGTTGTTGTTGTTTATAAGATGGGCTTTATTTATTTATTTATTTTTAAATATATTTTATTGATTTTTTTACAGAGAGGAAGGGAGAGAGATAGAGAGCCAGAAATGTCAATGAGAGAGAAACATCGACCAGCTGCCTCTTGCACACACCCTACCGGAGATGTGCCCGCAACCAACGTACATGCCCCTGACCGGAATCGAACCTGGGACCTCTCAGTCCGCAGACCAACGCTCTACCACTGAGCCAAACCAGTTTCAGCTCCCCCTTCCGTTTTAAATAAAAGACACCCCTCTCTTTTTCCCTCTCAAAACATCAAGCATAGTTTCCTCAATGAGCTAAGACTAACAATATAGGAAAAGACATGATCTTCCAGTAGCTTCAGGTTTCCATTCTATAAACATCTATAAACATCACAGACAGAGGAATACAAATGGCCTGGCTACCTGCTTGGAAGAAATGAGGGAGGAAATTAGGGCATTCGTATCTCCATAAAGTATCATGCCATATCAATAAAATCATTCGGGGAGGGGGGAAATCAAACCTTCTCTTGTTGGTTTTAAGAGTTAAAGGAATTTGCCCAAACCAGGTTGGCTCAGTGGATAGAGCATCGGCTTGGGGACTGAAGGGTCCCGGGTTTGATTCCGATCAGGGGCATGTACATTGGTTGCGGGCACATCCCCAGTGGGGGGTGTGCAGGAGGCAGCTGATCGATGACTCTCATCGATGTTTCTAACTCTCTATCCCTCTCCCTTCCTCTCTGTAAAAAATCAATGAAATATATATATATTTTTTAAAAAGAGTTAAAGGAATTTGTTCACCCCTAGGTTCACCTTGGGAGCCCAAGGGCTCAAAGTACTCATTAAAATGAGATTTGCCCTGGCCAGGTAGCTCAATTGGTTAGAGATTCATGCCAATATGCCAAGATTGCAGGCTTGGCCCAGCTGCTGGGCTCAGTGGTTGAGCATGGACCTATGAACCTGGAGGTCATGGTTCAAATCCCAGTCAGGGTACATGCCTGGGTTTCCAGCTTGATCCCCAGTAGGGGGCATCAAGAGGCAGCAGATCAATTATTCTCTCTCTCTCTCTGGCTCTCTCTCTCTTTCCCTTCCTCTCTGAAATCAATAAAATATATATATTTAAAAGATTGTGGTTTTGATCCCAGTGAGGGCACATAAAAGAAGCAACCAATGGCCGGGACCGGTTTGGCTCAGTGGATAGAGCGTCGGCCTGTGGACTGAAAGGTCCCGGGTTCGATTCCGGTCAAGGGCATGTACCTTGGTTGCAGGCATATCCCCTGTGGGGGGGGAGGGGGTGCAAGAGGCAGCTGGTCGGTGTTTCTCTTTCATCGACGTTTCTAACTCTCTGTCCCTCTCAATTCCTCTCTGTGTAAAATCAATAAAATATATTTTTTTTAAAAAAGCAACCAATGAACTCATAAATAAATGGAATAACAAATCAATGTTTCTCTCCCTCCCTTCCTCCCTCTTCTCTCTCTCCCTACCTCTCTCTCCCCTTTCTTTTCTCTTGCCCTAAAATCAGTAAATTAAAAATAAAAAAAAAATCATGTAAGAGACAAATTGCAGGTTTTGTACAGCCACAGTTGTATCTAATAGAGAAAAATATATTTAATTTAGTGGAGAGGGTAATTGATTTTTAAAAATATATGTTTTTATTTATTTGAGGGAGAGGAAGGAAAGGAGAGATGGAAAGAAACATTGATTGGGGATTGGGATCCAGCCTGCAATCTGGGCATGTGTCTTGGCCAGGAATAGAACCAGTGACCGTTTGCTGCGTGGAATGACGCTGAATCAACTAAGTGACACCGGCCAGGGAGGCAATTGATTTTAATTGTAGTTAATAAAGAGAGATCTTATGAAAAAAATTCAGAAATATAATTTCTGAGAAATATAAATTGCGTGTTACTAGTATGGTCAAAATTTTAAAACCTCCACTAGGAGGAGACAAATGAATTAAAAATTGTTTAATCTGCTCTTCCTTTAGAACGCATTTCCTAAATTAAGAAGAGCCTCATGAAAAATATATTTAGTGGCAGAATTCTAATAAAAGAGACTATTTTTAATATTTTTATTGACTTTTAGAGAAAGAGGGAGGAAGAGAGACAAAGATGTGAAAGCAGAACACCTTTCAGCTGCCTCCTGTACGCCTCCTACCAGGTATTGAGCCCGAAACTCTGGCCTGCGCCCTGACAGGGAATTCAACCTTTTGGTGTACGGTACAGTCAACCAACCAACTGAGTCACACTGACCAGGGCTACTTATTTATTATTGATTTTAGAGAGATGGAGAGAGAGAAATATCAATGTGGCTGAGTGCCTGGCTGGCGTCCCCTAGCAGGAAGGAGATAAAAGCTCCGACTGTGCTGGACCCCAGTTCTGACTACTCTGAACCCCAGTTCTAGGCCAGACCCCGGGGACCCAGGCTCAAACAGAGGGAGCTGGGCTGTAAGGCGGAACCCCAGGGGAGTAGCAAAAGGAGGTCCTGGCGGCACGCACGTTGCGCGCAGAGAAGGGATGGTTGGCTGTGCCGCGGGATTGCCCTGGCGGGAAGGAGACAGGGGCTCCGGACTGCTCTGAATGTCACCTCCAATCCCACTTCCAACTGAACTGAACCCCAGTTCCGGGCTCATTAGAGGAGAGCCTAGACTGTTTGGCAGCAGGCGAAAACCGAGGGCATCTTTCTCTCAGAGGCACTTGCAACGAGTACTGAAGGACCCTGAGACTCAGGAGCAGCATAGGGCAGGGCTGATGGAAGCCAAGGCTGTAGGCTCCACCCTGAAACCCCTCCCCATCTGTAGCTGCGAAGGGCGACACCGAAATAGATTACAAACAGAAAAAATGGAGGACAAAAAGCGACTGGATATAGAGTTCAAATCTACGCTTATAAGGTTTTTCAAGAATTTCCTAGAAAAGATCGACAAGACCTATGAGGATATGAAAAGAGATCAACTAGAATTAATAAGGAATCAACGAGAAATGATAAGGGATCAATAAGAAATGATAAGGGATCAACAAGAAATAAAGAATACATTGTCTGAAATAAAAATATTATACAGAGTCCTAAAAACAGAATGGAAGATCGCAAGAATCAAGTCAAAGATTTGGAACATAAAGAGCCAGAAGACACTCCTCCACACAAGCTAAAAGGCAAAAGAATCCAGAAAATTGAAGATAATGTAAGAAACCTCTGGGACAACTTCAAGCGAATCAACATCAGAATTATGGGGGTCCCAGAAGATGAGAGAGAG